GAACCATTATTATTTGCCAATTGGGTTGGTTTTCTTAACCTAATATTTTTAAAATCAAATCAAATGATAAATCGATAGGACTTCCTTATACCGATAAAATTACTCTTTTACGATATAGTTGATGAGGGGTTAAAGAACATAAATAATTTTTTTTATTTTCAAAAGTAAGATTATATATATTGATCTTTTCTTAAGGACGGTACGAGTTATATGAATTAAGGTTCGATTTTTTTATAAAATGGTTCGATTTTTATAAGATGATGATCACCTTTTATTTTAGTTGATTTGACTTTATCCTCATGATGTCATATTTTTATTTTAAAAATATTTTTTAAAAAAAAATAAAAAATAAAATTATTACAAATTAAAGAATCTTATTTTATAATTTTTTGTGATAAATGTTACCGGATCACAGATCAGCTCCCAATCAGATTACATCCCAAAAATGGTCTAAAGAGGGTTGAGACAAAAGTACAAAACATGATGAAATTTGTACAAGAAAAATTATTACCTTAATATATAATGAATAAATCATCTACTAATATCATCTTTAATTCATAAAAAATTATAGTTCTCAGCATCCATTTATAATACTATAAAAAACAACTTACCTAAGTAGAAAAAAAAAGAATCTTAAATAGTTGATATATTTTATGAAATTTTCCTATATTATGATACAATAAGCTCAAAAGACAAAGATTTTATTATTTTTCTTTCGCATCAAAATTTTGTTGCATTACCATCATTTCCACAGTCAAAAACATATCACGCTATTAAGATGTGGTAATTAAATTGTATACTTGAGGTTTATTCAATGTATCTTGAGGTTTGTGGTAACTAAATTGTATACTTGAAAATATACCTATGATTTGGTTATGTCATCATTAATGGGAAGGTGACAACATAAAAAGGGGTGAATTGTATTTTCTAATTAAGAAAAATATTTCAGATTTATCTTTAAGATCTTGAAAACGAGATAGAAAATTTGCAAGCTCAAACATACAAAATAATGAGAACACAGAAATTAAAGCAATGAGAATAGACACAAATGATGACTTGGTTACACAATATCTTATATTCTATTTATTTCTATTCTAATAATTATGTTCACGATTGAAGAATAATATAGAAAACTAATGATTCTTTCTCAAATATATAAACTTGTGGCAAAAGAAATTTGTATTAATATATACTTCTTTGTATTAACAAGAGAATATTTCTTTTATTTATCATATCAATATTATCATATTCGAATTGACTGAATTTCATATGTCAAAATCTCAATTTAACTAAAAATAATGGGAGTATTTCTATTTAATCAAACCACTCTTATATATACATATATATATATATACATATATATACATATATATATATGTATATATATACATATATATATATATATATATGTATATATATATATATATGTATATATATACATATATATATATATGTATATATATACATATATATACATATATATACATATACATATATATATACATATACATATATATACATATATATATATATACATATATATATAATTGGGTTTTAAATATTCAGAAGTCATAGGCAACACATTATTTAGCACC